ACTTGGCAACCACTCGAATGTTGTTTGTTTTTTTACAGGGTTAGTGTCAATCAGGTGACCTGACCATACGCTTTAGCAATGTGTCAAAATAACCCACTAGCAAGACTTGACAGTTCAAGATGGGCTGCTTTAGGCTCTCTATTTAATCTTGACATTGCTTGGGTCTCTTTAGCCTGGCTTCCTTTGGAAGCCAAGCTAATGGGAGATGCTAGTTGATTTTATGACTGGAGCTTTGGAACCTGCTAGTTGGATTGACCTCTAGTAATAGAAGAGTAAGTGTCTCAAACTCCACTGCTTCTACAATTTTCATGGAAGTTTGTTGCTAGGTGAAAAGACCCAAACTGTTACCTCTGAAGAAAATGCTGCTGCCTGTTGTCTGTCTGGTAGGCCAGACTTCAGATAACTTGCGACAATGTGCTGACCAGCTAGTTAGCAAGAAGGTAGCTTGGAATGTGCTGCAGTGTGAGCTATCTTCTACCTGACAGGAGAAGCTGTGGGTGAAATCAAGTATGAAAATCTGGGGTTATCACAGTGAGAAAAACAAGGTAGACAGAAAAACTATGTAGCTGGCAGTGTAGAAAACATGTTTTGTGCGTTCTGCCTGCAGGTGGGGATAGTCAGACAGAAAACCAGATGTTGAATGTTTCTGTCGTGCTGTGCCACAGTAGATCAGTTCACAACATCCAAGAGCAGTGTTCCTCTTAATGTAGCCTTAACTATAAATTTCTGGTCTGGTGGGTCTTGGTATATGCTATATAAAATTCAAACATTCTTAATTTGGGCTATTACTAGTTAACACACTCATTGCAATGTATAGTAGTAACACATGATTTGTTGACTGCTCAGAAACTCCTTGAAAGAACCCGTGCCAGGCGAGAGAACCTGCAGAAGAAAATGGCTGAGCGGCCCAAGATGGGAGCGAGACCCACAATGCAGACCAAGAGGGTCAGAGAGCCTTTGTTAGAAACTGGGAACCAGGTGCCTCTTCCTGCAGGAGAAGGTATTTTGCAACAGATTTAATAAAGATTCTCTTTTGCTTCAAGTCGGTCTCCTTTTTTAATAATGGCAAGTAAAACCCCTTAGTCTTTATCTCACATTGTGATGGACGCAGTTACCTGACTGCTAGGACTGAGTATAGCTAATGTTTAGCTTAACCTGAGAGCAGATGCTTTAAATAATCAGTAATCTTTGCAAAAATAATTGTTTAATGGAAATGATAGTGCCTTGTGCTTGATAGTTTTGGGAAGGGCAGGTTTTTTGGAGGCATATCAGGTTACTCTTAAGTCATAACTTTATTTGCATTGCGATTTTGTGTTGTCTGAAAAAATATTGAGGATTCTTTGAATACTAATCTACTTGAATACTCTGACCTGTACAGTGAAACCTGGTACAAAGCCCTCACCATCAAAGAGGCTCTGCCCTAACAATACGGAGACTCAAGCTCCCAGTTCACAGAACATACAGCCAGTTCCTTCAAGTTCCACAAGCCAGCATTCTCCTGAGATGACTTCAGAGTTGCACATAACTGCTTCTAACAGAGCTTCATTGCTTCAGCCTCTTGAGAAAGGAAAAACAAACACTGAATCAGAAACTCCTGCAGCTCCTGCAGCTCTTTCAGTCAAAACACGTATGCAGAGGTTGGCAGAACAGCGACGCTGCTGGGATAGCGAGGGTATGCTTCACTTACTAAGCAGTGTTGGTCTTTGCCAGTGTTTGCATTGGTGAGTGGCCAGGGTGGACAGAGTCTTGGGTGACACCCATGGCAGCAGGGTTGGAACTAGATGATTTTAAGGTCCTTTCCAACCCTAATTATTCTATGATTGTTTGCTAGCAGAAGATAATTTTGTGTGTATGAATACTAATCTTTTCATAAAGAATTCTTGTGCAGCACTGGGTAAAGGCCTAAAATAATGAGACTGTTGACTGCAGCTTAATTTTATACTTTTATTCTCTCCCTCCTAACTAGTGTGATGCCTTGCTCATCACGACAGTGACATAAACCTAGTAAGCTCCTTGGTTACAAATTTATCTGCATTGTAATAAGCTCTAGTTTAACTTGATTAGTCTCAATGCCTTCAGACTCCTTGGTTACGAATTTATCTGCATTGTAATAAGCTTTAGTTTAACTTGATTAGTCTCAATGCCTTCAGAGCTAATAGCTTGATTCTGTTGATGGTAAGAATATTTAACTGTTGATAAACTCAATATTGAGCAAAGTGTAAAAGATGCAAATATATTTCAATATATCAGGAAAATAAGTGTGTTTTCCTTTTTCCAGATCCCTCTGAGTGTGTTCCCCTGTCTCCTCTCCAGTCAAAAGATCTGCCTGTTTCTCCACCTAAGCAGACATCTAATGCCCTGGCAAGTGATACCCCTATTGGGAGAAGAGGCCGTTTAGCTAACCTTGCTGCTACAATTGGTTCCTGGGAAGATGACCTAAGTCATCCATCTGCAAAGCAAAACAATGCACAAGAACAGCCTGGCACTACTTGTTTATCCAAATTGTCCACTACAAGTGGAGCATCTGCTAGAATCAATAGTAGCAGTGTAAAGCAGGAAGCTGCATCCTGTTCTCAAAGGCTTGTTGAGGCTCCTATTAATAAACCAGCAAACTCAAAGACAGCGGTGAGTGTCTGATTTAGCTGCTGATTAAAAATCAATTTGAGTATTGGGGAGCGGGGGGGCATGACACAAATATTAACTCATAACTGTTTAATCTGCAGTTAAAGAGTTGGTCTTTAGTCTGTTTATCTTAGTCTATTTACAACTTCTGCTTTATTGCAATCCCACGTGCCTGTTTTTAATAGCAGACCTGGAACAGCTTAGAATCCCTTTTATTGAGACTTGGTTGAATGTAATATTTCTAAGTCTTGTAAAAGTTGATGTCCAAGTAATTGGTTGCTGTTCTTGACTATCAGAAGAGGACTTTTTGCAGAGATACTGGGTTTTGCTTGGTAACTTCATATAATTGATTGACTTAAATGTTATTGCTGTATGAAAATGAATTAGAAGGCTGAAATTAGTAGTGCCAGATACCTAATGTTGAACTTATGCCATTTATGAAATGACAGGATCTGCACTGTGCAGTCTTGTTTAGGGGCATGTGGGAAGATACCTAAAGTAGCTGGGTAAGGCACCTGGAATCAAATACTGAAACAGTTTGAAATACTGGATAGAAAAAAATCTACAAAAAGCTTCTAGCACTTGTTCTCAGTTTTCTGTTGTTGATGGAATAGGTGTGTTACGTTATAGTATGCTGTGCAGAATGCTTTCATTTTCCGCTTGAAAGAATGAGAACATACAGACTCATTTTAATGTTGTTCCTTTTTCCCCCTTGTTAAGGATCCAAACGATTTAACACGATCCTCAAGAGTCACTGTTCCCTGTTCTAAAGAACCTGCAGCACAACAGCCGCTACCAGAGAATCCCTGCAGCCCTCAGAAAACTGAAAAGCGTACACAAACAGCAAAATCAACTTTGCCTCAACCAGTTCAGTCCAAAGAAGAGCCAGTCAAAGGAACACATGTGCAACCTGAACCTAAGGGTAAACCCACAACACCAGGTAAGCTGTTTTCTTCAGCTTCAGTAAATGTTTATTTAAATTAGGCTTATGTGTCCTCAGTTGAAAACTACATATTAGTTAAGAATTTATGGTGACATATCAGGTAATGCCTGTTTCCTTCTGTAACTTGAGTGAAGTCCTGAAGAGTTCTGTGATAATTATCATAAATCATACAGTTTCCATAGTTTGCAAGGATATTTTCTCAGACAGGCTTTCAGTAACTCTTGAGAGCAAAATTTTTCTCTATGTAAAAATGTATCCTACTAACATCAGTTAACTGAGACTATTCAAAGCTTCTTTCAAGTTGTTGGATACTACATGTTTCCAAACAACATCAGGTAAAGAGTCTGCATAAGTTAGAAGAAATCAAAGCTAAATGCTCCAACTTTGCAGTGTCTTTCTTTTCAGTGGCAGCATCGATGTTGAAACAAGTGATCACCCCTAGTTTTCAATTCAACTTCTTGTTGGGTCAGAAACTTGGACTAACAGCTTGAACTCTTTGAAGGTGGCCAGTAGACCAAGTGTGTGCCTCTAGATATGCTGTCAATAAAAGACAAAGCAAGGTGGATGTCAAACAATGTATCTGCCTTATGTACTAGACTGCTCAATTACAGGAAGGATGCAAGTGAGGCTGGTTGTAGAGGAAATGTTGAAAAAGCAAACCAGTTTAAATAATTGGTGGATCACATGGACTTTAGCAAGAGGATGACATCTATTTGCTCTGATTTGCTGCTTTATTAACTTCAGTGTTCTGTTACTGTGGTGATTTGCACTTCAGGTTTAGTTCACGTTGAAGAGCTGTAAAGGAATCAGCTTAATTGCTTCATTGAGAACCTTCAGCAGGATGCAGTGATTTCTGTGGTTTTGAGAGTCTCTTTCAAGGCAAAACAATTATTCTTGTAGGGGGATCAGGAATTAAACCCTTCCTGGAACGCTTTGGGGAGCGCTGTCAAGAGCGTAGTGCACAGAGTCCTGCTACGAATACTCCAGGGTGCAGAACACCCATTGTTACCCCAAATACCAGGACAATCCAGGAAAGGCTGCTTAAACAAAATGAAAATTCCTCTACTGCCAGTTTAGCACTTCAGCTTAAGCAGGTAATGACTTCGCTACGTTCATAGTTTGCTTGGGAAGATACTTGCAGTTCTGCACCTGCCTGAGGAATCTGAAATGTTTGACATCTTTAAGCTGTTCACTTTTCCCCCTGTCGCTCTTTATTTGCTTAGGAACGTGAACGAGAACTTGCATGTCTTCGTGGCCGGTTTGATAGGGGCAATCTGTGGAGTGCCAAGAAAAACGAAAGTCCGAAGAGAAAACTTCCAGAAGCTAAAATGGTAACGTGTGACCTCCATGTATCAAAAGATGATGGGCTTTTGTTAAAGCAAATGAATTGCTTTAACATGTTCTGAATGCAGGATAGATGTGCAACTGTAAATTAAAGACAAAGCCAGGCTGTGCAAGACCTCTTTTGAAGTGGTTTCTATGAATATTAACAAATTATTAGAGTTATTTTTCCCCCTGAGAATCATTTAAGGAGACAAGTGATACTGCTTTGAGCCAATTAGCTTATCTGTAGGTTTTCTAAGTGTGGGGTTTAATATTCTATAACTTTAAAAGCAAAAGAAAACTCCTCCCACAGTGTTTGGTACGTCAGCTAAATTTCTTACATAAATAAATAGGATCCTTCTTGAGACTGGATAAGCAGCATTTTTTTCCTAGCAGGTATTAAAATGTGTTTCTTTCTGGCATGTTTTTAGTCCCTTTGAACACTACCGTAAGTGTACGATGTTTTGATTTTTGCCAGGAAAGCCAATCTCAGGCTAGTCCAAAACATTCTCCTTGTTCCAGTGCCACCACTTTTGCATCAGCAGAAGACACAGCAGCAAGTGATAGGCCAGCAAAGTCTCCCAGCGTGGAGTCTTCAGGTAAGAATTGTCACTGTTTGCTTGTGGCTAATGCTGGACCGAAGCACTGCCCTTGATGTTCATGAGCAGATAAAGAGGCTGGTAGCACTAACATGTATAACTGGACCTGCCTAAATCTTCTTGTATGATAATAATATTCTGCACTCTTATACCACTTGAAAGATGGGCAGGAAAAACTGCCTTTCATTTTTTTTTACCTGTGTTTTGTACTTTCATGTATGTTAAGTGGAAGGAGAGAGAATGAGAATCATCAGTTACAGATTTAATCCATACTGTACCTGAGTATCCAAATTTCCACAACAATCTAATGGGACGGAACTCTTCTCCCGCCAGTAGCCCTTTATGCTATTAATTCTTATTGTAGGAAACATGAAATGAATTCAGAGAGGCTCTTGACATCCTTTCTGGTGCTCACTGAGTGGAAAAGCCTGCAGTTCTCTGAAAGAAGAGTGAACTTTGTTACCACATCTAGACATTATGGGCAAACACGCTGTCAAAGCTGCTTCTAGAAAACCAGGATGAGATCCTGCTTTTGTCTGGGGTTTGGCTGTGGTGGTTTTTGTGTGGTGGGTTTTTTTGCTTGTTTGTTTCTTAAAATTTCCCTTTTTGCGCTGAGTGGTTGTACTCTACTATGGTTTCAGCATGGCTTCTTGTGCTAGCAGTTTTCTGATTGTAAGATAAACAGTTGCACAGGTTGTAGAAGGTATGCATTCTAATGATTATTTTACAGCAAGCTGACTTAATCTAGTGGGGGTTTTGTCAGTTGTCAGCTATATCATCAGACTGCCAAAAAAAATTCAAACTTAAAATAAAATTCAAAGGTTAGACATGATCATCAGTGACATCTTTATAAACTATTTAGGTGCTCCTAGATGTGAAGAGAGTCATAAACCCAGTCCTCTGAAGATCTCTGAGACAAAGAGTCCTGTAAAAGCAGTATCTGTCTCAAAACTTGAGCAATGTGCTGAGAAACTGAAAGGTTTGTATTGAGTAGATGTATATTAATGCACTTAACTGTCTGTTGCCACTTGTCCAGCACAGTGTCAATATCCTTCAAGTCTGAACAGTGAGTTCATCATGCATCTGCTGACACTGGTGTGTTTCGTAATGAGGTTTATATAAAATCAATCAGGAATCTTCTTTTATCATGATCCTTCTCTCTTGATATTCAAGTCTTCAAGAAATATTAAAACGCTGATATTGAAAGTTTATTGGGAAAAGATAGACTGTTCTACTGTGGGTCTTGCAGTTAAGTTTCAGACCTGTTTGAGCTAAAATCTTGAAACTTGTTTCACAAGTGCATCTTTGTATTCCCTTTCTGTATCAATTATGCAATGTATGTGATAATAATATATTAAAATAAGGATGGAAGTATACTTTAGGGTTCTATATGCCTGACTATAAGTCTTTCTTTAATCAAGCTTACTCGAAAAGCAAAAATAGTTGCCTTACCTGTTAACATCTTTCTGTTCATTTAATGAGAATTAATTGTTTAGTCCTGATGCTACTAATACTTTTGAAATATCACTCTTTAGATGAAGTATACGAAATTGAAATGAGTGTGGATGATGAGATGAATAGCTCGAAAGTGATAAATGAAATTTTTGAAGTTCTTGAAGAAGATGGTCCAGACATAGAAAAGCTGAAGAAAGAAATGAGTATGAGCCTGGAAGGAGAAAGTGATGAGGATGAGCAGGAAGAGTCACTTAATATTTCGTCAATGTCTCTGTTAACCCCTTTAGTGGAATCTGTTGGTCCAGAGGTGAGAATTCCTAAGAGATGGGTAAGGGCTTGTTTATCACACAGAGAGGTATAATTTGCTTGTGAGCAACGATATTTTGTTTTATTGTGATACGTGGGCAAATAAGTTACAAAAGACATTTTGCTAACGAAAGCATAATGAGGTCAAGTTATTTTCTTCTGAAAATAGCTGAGCATGTTGGAAGCTCTGCTAAACAAGTGGTTTAACTCCTGCTAAATCAAGTTTGAGTATATATATCTATTAGCTTTGCTGGACTTCCAGTGGTATACATGCATTCAATGAACTGGTCACTGATGAAAATGTGAAGAGAAGAAACTGTACTACTTAGGAAACTAAGGGTGAAATCTCCTTGAGTTCAGTGGCCTGTTGGTGCCTTTAAAATATAAAATTTGCTCATTCTGTGTTCTGGAAAATACTTGTAAAATGTGTGTTAAGTTTGGAGGCGGCTTAATACTATTTACTGTTTATATGCAAGACTTAGTAAAGGTGAGAGAAAGCAGGTAATGATTATCGTGGCCTTTATAACCTTTTCTTCTCCCCAGGCCTTTGTTTCTCCTTGTAAGTCAACTGGTGAAGGCAGCAGTATCAGTGATGTAAGTCTGAAGTCTGACAAGTTCCAAAGGACTAAAGTCCCCAGGGCAGAATCTGGAGACAGCATTGGCTCTATATCAGATGATCGCAACCTTCCCTATAGGTAATAAATGCAAAACCCCACCTCTAATTCTGTAAGTGGGCAAAGTTAAGACACTGGATATTTTAGCTCTTCTAATGAAGCATACAGCTGAAACGTCAAAAAAAGCTTTTTCTTCCAAAATTTCAAGCCTTTATCAAAGATAGTCCCCCTGTAGTCTTGATGCTTAAACTTGAAATGAGGTGATAGAATGCTTTTGTGTTTTAAAGCGGTTTAGGCAACTTGAAAAACATCAGTAAGTGATACATATGTATGTATATTTAAAAAGCAACCCAAAACATTGTTATAGCTGTGAAACACTTAGTGGGGTTTCCTCTTTTGAAAGCATTGATGCATACAGATCTCAAAGATTTAAAGAAACCGATCGTCCTTCAATAAAGCAAATCATTGTTCGCAAAGAAGATGTTGCCTCCAAGCTAGAAATGAAAAAGAATGGCCCATCCGACCAAGTCAATATCAAAAAGAAAATGCAGGTAAGCAGTATACTACTTTAAATCCTTTTTCTCATTTACTATTTCCTTGCTTCATTTCCCTTGAGAATCTCCAGGACTTCAACATACTACTTGGAACTGCAGAATTAGGTTATTTAGCATAAATATCCAATGGTAGGGAATGATACTGCATGAGCTGGACAGCTTAATGCACCTCTTAAAAGGCTCAAGCTATAGAGTAAGGTTAGAGAGAACAAGCTGTCATTTTCAGAAGGGAATGGGGAACCTTCATCTTATTACTGCCTTTGAATTAGGCAGGATTCATTACTACATAATTTCAGTAGGCAATATTCTGGTATTTAGTGGTGCCTTTTTTGCAAGCATCACTGAATTTCTGGTTAACTCCTGCTTCCCCTGGTGAAGCAAAGACTAACCCAGATATAGAGCATACAATTGTTGAAGTCAGTCACTCCCCTTGTTTAAATTACTTCTGAGGTAAAAAAAAAAAAATGATGCTGCAATATTCTTTTGCAGAAGTAACTGTAAAACGCAAGATCTGTGTAGTTTACTATCTAAGTAGTCTAATTTCTCTGAATCATAGCCCCCAAAATACTGATCTCAAGACATTTCCATGTGTGAATCTAAATCTTTTCTTGCTAATTATTTTAACTTCTGGCTTACTCTAGGAGCTCAATAATGAGATCAACATGCAACAGACAGTGATTTATCAAGCCAGTCAAGCTCTGAACTGCTGTTTTGATGAGGAGCATGGAAAAGGGTCACAAGAAGAAGCAGAAGCAGAGAGACTTCTTCTCTTAGCAAGTAGGTTTTGAGACCCAAGTTTAATTCTTTGTCATGAACACTTTGGGAAGAAGTGGGAACAAGACTGGCGGTGTATTTATTATGCTACCTTGTAGCTGCTTTTTTCTTCACCTGGAAAACAGAGTAATATCTGTTCTGCCTCAGCTTTTTCTATAGGCAAGGGGATATTTTTGGAATCTTTCTTGCCTTTAATATTCCCACTATTCTGGAAGATCATTACCATTTCTGTTGCTTTTTACATTCTTATGGGGGGAAGAAAAGAATGTTCAGTACTACTTTTGCCTCTGTTACAACTGTAATTAATTTCTCTATGCAGCTGAGAAAAGAACTGCTTTATTGGAAGAACTGAATAGACTGAAGAGTGAGGGACCTCATAGTAAAAGAAATAAATCTACTTCTATAGCCACTGAATACACTCCATCCAGGGGATCTGTTTCCATTTCAGAAATGCGTCTACCTCTAAAAGCAGACTTTGTATGTGGTACAGTTCAAAAGCCAGGTAAAACCAGCAATTGAAAACTTTACCCCTTTCCTCCCCCTTCCCCATCCTCCCTACATATATTTCTGTTTCATTCTCCTTGGGTTTTTTGTCTTCTGCACTGGTGTTTCTCATAAATCAGGGGGCAATGAAGTTCTAACAATTGCTTTTAATTGATCTGCTTTTTGGTTAAGCTTTCAATATTTTCCATGGTGGTTTTAGTTTCATCATTTTCTGGCTCGTGAGGTTCAAGAAACTTATCAAGACCTTTCCAGCCAGTCTTAAGGATCTTTGTGGTCCTCTGTAGCCTGTTGGAGTAGAAGTAGAATTTTGTATCTCAGGTTGTATTCTCTCTCACTGCCTTGGAATTTTATTGATGGGTGCAAGTCTAGTACCTAAATATCATTACATAAATTCTGACAGACTCATTAAGCTTCTAATTTTTTTCAGTCTTTTTGTTAACATCCCAAAGTACTTCATTTATAAAGGCTAGTCTTCCATTATTGGGTCATATTTAAGTCATTAGAGTGTTAAAATGTGGATTTATTTCTTCTTTTGCTCCAGAAGAATATCTGGCAATATCTCTCTGTAGGTCTAGACTTATCCTGCAATATAGTAAGCTTCTGTTATGTGGCTATTTAAAGAATCTGCAAGCCCGCAATAACCAGTGCTAGTTTATATAATGCTACAGAATGGTTGTAGCTGGACAGATTCCTACTTTTTGCCCCAGTAAAATTTGAGGACAAAAGACATTGGACAAAATTTGGTTTAATACTGGTTGTAAAACTTTTAATCAGTTAATAGCCTTTCTTATTTCCTTGATTAACTGCCATATGAAATATGAAGTGTTTTAGTTTTTTTTATATCTTCAAATAAAGCCACAGCCAAGAATATAAAAGTAAATATCTGACCTAATTTACCACCCCTTCTCCACTCCCAACATGATTACCTCCTGCCACTGTTGAGATGTGTTTTTCCCCCCCCCTCTATGAAAAGTTAGGGAAATGAGTTGCCCAAATTACCAGTTCCTTTGCAGGACTGAAAGACCTATGAGAACAGGCAGTAGCAATGTTGATGTGCGGTTAAGCTGGCAGGCCTAGAGAATAACAGCCAGAGTGTAAGGAACTAAAATGAACTGCTGCATCTGACTGAAAGTTCTTCCTCTCCCCTCTCACACACTGGGTAGTGTAGGTCTGGCCTGAGGCGCCAGGTAGTTGTGAATCCTGTGGAGACAGTCTTACTACTGGCGAAGTAAAAACTTGTTTTAAGAGTAAGTTTATAAGCAGACATTGACTGTAACTAAGTGTTCAAGTGGGGTGAAGCAGAGATGCTTGCAGTACTTGAGGGGATTTTTAGGTATTTGAACATCTCTGCCTAACAAACCTATCTGATTTGTATTTACAGAAGCAGCAAATTACTACTATGTAATAATACTGAGATCTGGAGCAGAAAACATGGTTGCAACACCATTAGCGAGTACTGCCAGCTCCCTGAATGGAGATGCTCTTACTTTTACTACAACATTTACTATGTGAGTATAAAGGAACTTTTTTCAAACCAGTTTCAACTCTGATGCTGCAGCATGCATAAAAGCTTCATATAGGGGTGTCACATTTTGCCAACAAATATGGTGAGATCTTGTGGTATTGGTATTTCCCACTTCAAGAAAGAGCTGGAATCGCTCCTCTCAAAAGAGCAATCTAGACTTATTCCACCACCTATCTGCTAAGTCATGCCTTGGTTTTTCTACTTGTGTTCTACCCAGGGAACACTTGCAATGACAGGTGGATTGCTTTACCTGGGATAATGTGGGTTTTTTCCCTTTTTCAGCAACTAACATTTTATATAGCTTTTTGCTTTTGGTATCTGGAAAAAAATAGTACTCTTAAACCTTCAACTGTCGTATGTTAGCTAAAAGGTGGCGTCAGTTCAAATGGCCGGGTTTTTATAGCAAAAGTCTTCTAAAATAAAGAAAAAAGCTCTCTTTTTAAAATCCAACCTAACTGGAAGTTTCACTTGAAGATATTAATTCAAAAACCCCACCCAATCTCTGTTCATAGAAATGTGTGCCAGCAGTGGACTGAAGGGTGCAAACTGAGAAATGGTCAATGCACTCTATCTGCCCCTTGCCCCTTGTCCTTCCCTCCCCTTATGATCTCTGAGTTCTAGAATGTATCTTGATATAGTAATACACTCAAGTCTTAAAAACAGCAACGGTGCCTGCACTGAAGTGTAGTACTGTAGAAGTGAAACAATCAAACAAATAAATTCTCTTGTGTAGAACTTTGAGTAGAAAGAGGGAAGAAGTAAAGAGTATCATTTAAAAGGACCACCTTTTTGCTTCAGTCTGCTTAACTCAGTTTTCCCCTTTTCCCCCTTTTAGGCATGATGTGTCAAATGACTTTGAAATAAGTATAGAAGTTTACAGTTTGGTATGTATCAGTTCTTGCTAAGAAGATGTGTAAAGGAGAATGAGGTGGTGTACTTTCTGAATACCTTCTTGCCTTACAGGTACAGAGAAAAGAAGTTCTGAGCACTGATAAAAGGAAAAAGGCAAATAAATCTAAGGTAAATGAAACAACAAAATCAGCATATTGTATTTCCACAGCAAGGACACTGTAGTGTCCAGGGAGAACTGACTAATGGTCTTAGACAATCTGTTGCTTGCTTTTACTCTTCTTGATATTTGTTGGAACATCTGCAATGACAGATGGGTTACGGAGTCCTGCAGGTATTAGTTGAGTGGACCTGCAGCACTTGGTTGAGTCTAAAATACATGGGAGGGGAAGGAGAAGTCTTACTAGTCCAACAAAATGATAGGCTTTGCAAACTTCTATTAGGTATGGTGCCTCTGATAGTGATTACCCTACCTTGCAGTTTGATTTGTCTTAAAGATTCCGTTGATCAATTGCAACACATCTGCCTTTCTTCCCAGCCTTAAGTAAAAACACTAGATGTTGGTGGGTTTCTTTAAGCAAACGTTTATGCCCAAGAAGTTAATAAAACTTTTCAGCTTGGGCAGGGTACACATTTCAAGTGTTTGTGCTTTATTAAGGCTTTGTGACCCCAAACTAGCCAGTGGCTTTCTGCAGATGGTGGCTTAACAAAACCAAGAAACTTCAGTGTCTTTTAGAACAGCTGCAATGAGTACTTGAATCCTGTATCTGCAAAGAGAAATAGGAGTTTCTTTTAATCTTTACTTTCATTTGGCACATGAAAGCATGCTTCCACCTATCCCCCAGTAAAACCAGTTTGAAGTCCAGGGATTCTTTCTCTCCTGTGCTGTAGTTTAGGGGAATCTTTACTTAAAACCTAATGGTTGTGTGTCACTGTAGGTAAGTTGCTGATGTGGAGTTATCATTTGCTGATAGCATCCTGTATCTGCTTTTTGACAAGCTGCTTTAACTTGTCTTTCAGCTTCAAGAATAGATGAGCATATAATTCCGGTTCATATTAATATACAGTCTCACCTAAACTTTGATATGATGTACAACAGTAGCACACTGAACATCTCTGTATCACTGACTCTTATCTTTAATAAGCAAATGGAACTTTGAAGCCCTGTTAGGTGAAGGTGTACTGAGATTGCTTTTTCAAACACATGCTGCCCATCCCAAGCTAATGCATACTTAAATCTTTCTGCAGTAAATATTTCTTTGATATATAGCATTCCTTCCACTGAAATGTTACATCTAATCAAAAAAACCAAGATCTGCTCATTACAACAACTAGTATCCATTCAAAACTTTACATAAGCCTTCAGTAGTTTCACTGTCTTAATTTTCACACCGTGATGAACAAATTCAGTAGAAAATGAATTTATCTTATATTCTTTTGTAGGTTATTACCCCAAAGAGATTATTAACATCTATTACCTCTGTAAGTATGAATGTAATATTGTAACAAGATCTGGTTATGACCTCTTCCAAAGGCTTATTGTCACACTGAATAAGGCTGTGCCCATAGTAGGCTCTTTGTATCTCTTGAAACTCTGTAACTGTCCAGCTTTCTGCAAAATTCTTCAGCCATCAGCTCAAGAAATAGGTAACAGCTTTAAACATGTAATGCTGGAAATAATGCACTTACTACATACTTATTGGGACTTTCTTTGAAGATGTGTTTGCTTTTTAAAGTACTTCAGATGTTGCTTTTCTAACCTGCTTAGTCTTGTGTAGAAATGTGCAGAAATTACTTCCTCCACTAAGCTTTTCTTTCTCTCTTTCTCCTAGAAAAGCACACTTCTTACTCCAGGTAAGTATAAATCTAAGCATCTTGTGTAGAATATCTATCATATTGGCATTTGCTGTCTAAAGCAGTATATCAATGAGTAATACTTGTAACAGATGCTAATTTGGGAGTAATAAATACAGAATTATGTCAGCCCAGTTTGCCAGCCCCAAATCTGACACTGTGTTTATACCTGATTTGTCATTCTGTTTAATGGAAGATCTCTCCACAAAATCAAATGCAGTATCTGGTATTAGATACCTGTAACTTATATGCTTTCCTTGAGAAGGTAAACTCACATGAATGTTAGGATTTTAAACCAGAGTCTGATGTCAACAAAGTAATACAGAGGAAACTTGAAAATGCAAACAGATTTGGAAGTATTGCTTAGGGCTGCACCACAAAGTGTGCTTCTCCTGGAGTACTAAGCAGCACCAATAAAGCCTTGCAGCATCCTGCTTGTGTGTTGTGTTATGACTGTGTTATAATTTCTTTCTCCACAGCCATGGCCAGTCCAGGTGGCCCTAATGCTATACGCAGTACGAACTTCACCCTTGTTGGATCCCACAAGCTGTCACTGTCTTCTGTAGGAAATGCCAAATTTGCATTGGATAAGGTAATGGAAATGACTGGCTACTAATCCAAATGTAATTGCATGTTACTGGAGTAACAGATACGAGTCTGGTTCACTGTTTTCAGATGAAGTTACCATCCTAGAAACAAAACATAGGTTTATATAAATGTTGTTTGCATACATATATAGATAGATAAATATTTATGTAGAGTTTTTGTTCATATTTAATTTCATGTGACTGAAATGTAATTTTGAGATCCAAAAGAAAGAAAATATATGTGATTATGCCAGAAGCTTTCTTTTCTGGAGCTCCATGCTTGTGCAAAGATAATGAAGGCATTTAGTTACTGATTTGCTTTCACTGACAAAAACAATTGATGTATGCAGTTGGTATCTCTATATGTGGTCTTCATATTGTTCTTTGCTCTTAGTCTTGCAGTTACCCCTAAATAAGACACTGTGTTTTAATGATAATGAAGTATTTGAAATTGACTGCATTTAATTGACTTAAAAATTGCTGTTTGAATATAGTTAGGAATAAGAGTTTCCTTTCATATCCTAATTAAATTTGTAGAAGCAAATTATTTTAATGCTTGAGAGCTATTATTGAGTTTTATACCAGTAGTTCTTTGTCTAAACAGAATATGCTTATTGGCTTTTACCATCAGAAATTAAAAATTACATACATTCTTACATTCATTACAATCTCTGACCTTGTAATATCTTATACCTAAAACCTATTTTAATAGGTGTTTATGCCAGCAGCTATCCTAAGCTAACTTAAATTCAGAAGCTACTACAGCTTATGGTGGTACTAAATTACAGCTTTATCCAAACAGCAGCTTAAGAGTATACTTTTTTTCTTGGCTATTTAAGTTTTATTGTGATGATACTAGTATTGCAGTTATAGCTTCTGATGAGTGATGAGATAATAGGAATTGATTGTGTTTGTGCATAAGATTAGAAACATCACAATAATCCCAATTTGCCTTTTACAAGCTTTGCTTTTCATGGATAGAAGCAGACTTTATTACTGGAACACTTGCAGAACTTATCAGTTGAATTGCACTGCTCATTTTGACTGCATGAACTTCAGAAGTACCAGCTTTGTTCTTCAGCATAAATGTTCTTCTTAACCGGAATTACAAATAGAAGTCTCAGTTTGTGTATGCTTATTATTGTAAAAGACAGGGAGTAGAATTCTGCAAGTCTTAAAGGCTCCTAATATTTTATGTTTGGTTAGTAAATCTCTGTAAGCATTTAAATTCTGCAATTTATCGCCCAAGGTTATTGGAAGCACTTTATTCTTGGAGTTATGGGAATTGCATTTTATGTCATTTAGCAACTTGGGTTTAAACTCTTTTGGTTTACTCATTAGGACAGGACACTGGACTGGACTAGTAAACTAGCACCAGCATAAGGTTCAAATGGAATTCCAGGGAAATCACCACCTGGTTAATTTTTTTCCAGGTGCAGACTTCAACAGTTATTAACGAATAAGAATTCCCCCTTTATGCCAAATAACATTTTCTAATTATTATTATTTTATTAAATGATCATCTTTGTAAAGCTTCAGTTTGGACTTGGCCTGTGGCTGCACCAAACAGCTGCTTTTTAACTTGCTCCATGCATTTCTAATACGGAACAAACTGCTGCCACAGTGGGTATTTTGAGTTTCATTCCTCCCACTTTTATGCACAGGGTGGAAAGGACAAAAATGTACGCATGTGTAACTGTCCTCTTTTTATTAAACCTTAACTCTACACTAATTGCATTGAGCATGTTTCTTTTTTCCCTAGATAAATTTTGAAGGGGTGGAAAAAGAACTGTTGGGCTATATGTTCCAGGACCAGGTTGCTATGATCCTTTTAATAGGAAACTGCTTCCTAGTGCATGTTGCTCATGTCTGCCTGGCCTGGTTGCAGAATTTAAATGCTTACAGAGATTTACTAACCAAACATAAAATATTAGGAGCCTTTAAGACTTGCAGAATTCTACTCCCTGTCTTTTACAATAATCATGCTGCTAGAACTCAACATGATTTAGGCTACCTAGGGTTTTTCCTTATCCAGCATGTGTCTTCCTAGATCACTAGAGGAGGGTTTTTGTTGTCCCAAAACAAATCCATATCTCTGCAAGGCTGCTAGTCAGGAAATTTGAGCCAACTTGATGAACTGCACAGGACATAGAATGAGCTACTCTGCTGATGTATGAGTAATGAAATGAGGAAAAATGATTGGCGGCCTAAATGTTGGTTTCACTCAACTTGTTGCAACTGAAGAAAATTAAAATCACTCAGGAATTATCTTATTTCTTATTCTATTGAGACCTTGTTCTGTCAAGACCCATCAGGACCTTTAGTTGTTTTTAAGCAAAAGGCAATCCTAAAGAGCCAAAGTTCTGAAAGTGCTAAACTGAAAACCTGTGAAATTCTTACTTGTACACAAAGGTGCAATTCAAATAGTTCTCTTGGAGTATACATTTTTGGCTTTAAGAATTAGATAAATTGATGTGCTTAAAAGAAGTAAGTGGTCTTTAATCTCTGAAACTAGTTTTACTTAGTTAACTGTTAACTAGTTAACTCGAGTCCCTCAGGGGAAAGTGGTTTAGAAAACTTTATGTATGTTTTCTCTTCAAATTAAGCAGGTGATAATTTTAGTACCAGCTGTCTCCTATTTGCAATCAAATAGGAGACTAACAGGTCCCAAAACCCCAATTTTTTGCAAATTCTTGACAGTTACCTTGAGTATCTTTACAGACATTCTGCTATGACAATATGCTGTCATCTTTAGTAGCTATCTGAATGACCATAGCAGAATGCAAGCTAGCCTACACACGGGCTTTAATTTTCTCTTCATCTAGCTGGATATTGAACAAATTGCTTTCTTTCTTCCACCTCCACCCCACTTGTCTTTGAAAGGGATATGTTGCTAATTAGGATGTCATAATTTCTCATTATGTGTACAGGAGGGTGTTTTGAGATGCGCTTTAGTAGCGGTGCTGAAGGCTCTGAAAAACTGATCCCATTCCATTCGTTACACAGCTCCTCACTCGTAAACTCCTTAATCCACAAAGGAGATTCATCAGACCTGACCTAAATTAGAAAGAAATGCAAAACCAATAATCTTGAAGCAGGGAATTGGTCAAACTTGAGGTCCTCATGGATTTTACTGTGGTTTGGTAAGATACAACCCAATGCTCCCTGCTGTAACATCCAGGGCTATCAATTATCTTTGCTGATAAAAATCCAGGCCTGGTGCAACTTATTTTTGTTATGTGGAAACATTTTGCTGGTTTTGCTTCTCAAATGGTCATGCAGACACCTAGCTGGTGCTCACAATTTTGCTGTGCTATATACATGTAGGGCCAAGTACATGAACAAGCCATGCATGCTGTCTAGTTGAGTAGATCTCGCCCATAATAATGATTTCCACACCTACTTGTGCACGTGTGTCGTGTCTGGGAGGAAGCTGCAGTATGCCTACAGCTCAAAGGTGATCAGTTTCTAACTGTAACATCTATTGCAGGGTTCATTGAGGCCTACAGATGCACACTTTTAGCTATTAGGGGTTACTCCTGTTCATCTGAACTAGTAGCAAAACTTAATTCCACTTGATGAACATGTGTGGAGGGAGTGGGGGAAGTCAAAAGGCAGACTTTATTGCATGTTCTTCTTCAAAGCTCTTCAGTATCAAATAACCATTTAAACAGCCTCTGGGGCAGTGGTTAAGCTGGTCTTCAACACTTCGAGTGCCAGCTGAGAACTGCTTTCATTGCTTTTTCCCCTTCCAGGTCTCATATACAAATAGTTCTCTGAGTAGGCTCTACTACATCACTATCTGCCAAAAATGCTTATGGCATCCAAGTACCAATCCTGTTTAAGCCCACTATAGTATTTTCCAAACAGCCTAATGTCAAACTGAGGCAGAAGCTTGCAGGATATGGACTGGTGCAGTGTGTTGTTTTTAACCATGTTTGGAGTGCTTGTATTTATAGATAGAAGCATGTTTGTGCATATGTCCTGAGCAAACTAACAATCAAATCAATCTTGAAAAGCTTCTGAATAAACTTGAAACAATAAGTGATTGTTACTGTCTTGCTCTAGACTGACCACTTCTTTCTGGCTAAAGATCCTAAGAACAAGACTGTGCTAACATCCTGGTGCAGGTGGCTTGCTTCAACTGGTAGAATTGAGAGGTGTCCAAATGAAATGACTAATTGCTTTACTTCTTACAGGTTCCCTTTTTGTCTCCTTTGGAAGGTCATATATATCTGAAGTTAAAATGCCAAGTGGACTCCTCTGTGGAAGAGAAAGGGTTTTTGGTAAGATACTTACTTCAAATTCCTTCCATGGAAATTACAAGTCCTATTAAATGTAGTTACCTTTTTAACTTGACACATGTATTTGTAGTGATTGTAAAGCTTAAAACTAGCTCATTTTTTCCTTGCCCTTCTCTGAACCAGACCTCAGACCTTTCCTAGTTTATCTTCTAAACATGCCTAAATTAAAGCTACCTTTTAAGAGTTTGCATATCTCTCTCTTCTAAACACTGTTCATCTCTTATTCTGAACTTCAGTTAACCTTCTCTTGCTATGATCTGTGATGTGAGATGAGATCTTAACTTCTCTGCCAGAAGCTTTTACAGGACATCTTGGATTTATTTTATTATTTTGTCTAGTAAAACCAAATTCTCCCTAGAAAAATCCCCCCCCAAAACACACACACACGCACTGTGTTCACAAACTTCAGAAGCAATAGTATAACATCTCAAGCAATTCTCTAAAACTGGAGTTGGAAAGTGCAGCTGATACTTGGGCCTAATAGCTGGAGCTGTTGAGATCGTGTCCAGGAGATGGCAGTAAATGTGCTGTGAAAATACTGCAGCAAAGCATTAACACTTGCTCTTATTTTGGTGGGGTTAGAATTTCTTTAGACTCTTTTCAAGCAGTTCTTTCTGTCCCTCCTTACTCTTAAGTGAAGTTGAACAGATTTCATTAGATGAAAACATTTCATGTGCTTGTGGTATTTGCTGTCCCATGTGTTTGTGTAGTCTTTAAGAAAGTCCTTGTTTACTTCCACTATACAATATGTAAAACCTGAAGAATGTCACACATACACGTCAAACTTTTTTCAGAGTAAGGGTTTGGAAACTCCCTACACAATAAAAACAGTAATCTGAACTGTGAAGAGTGAAAAACATGACACAGTGATTGGGAGGGGTGGAAATTCTGTACCAGAGGGATCAGGAATAGAAGTCAGATACTAAACCTCTCATTTCAGTACTAAAGAAATGGGGCTTGAAATTGGCATAATCCTGCATCCAGTAAAATAATGACTGACACAAACATTTAAAAGCAATTTCTAATTTCTTTTAAACTGATTGGACTCCTGCCTGTCCTGTAGAATAGCTGAACATTTTGTAATCCAGCACAGTAAGTCAAAGGTGACTTGGGTATTTAAGTGGTTAGGGTTGGAAGGGACCTTGAAGCTGATCTAGCTCCAACCCCCTGCCCCGGGCAGGGACACCTTCCACTAGAGCAGGTTGCTCCAAGACCCTGGGTCCAACCTGGCCTTGAACACTGCGAGGGATGGGGCAGCCACAGCTTCTCTGGGCACCCTGTGCCAGCGCCTCAGCACCCTCACAGGGAAGAGCTTCTGCCTCAGAGCTCATCTCAATCTCCCCTGGGGCAGGTCAAAGCCATTCCCCTTGTCCTGTCACTGCCTGCCCTTGCAAGAGTCCCTCTTCAGCTTTTCTGTAGGCCTCTTTAGGTATTGGAAGACTTCTCATAATAAATTGTGTTATACTCATCATGGTTTGTGAACCGTTCATCCTGTATCTGGTATAAGTAACCTCCGTTATCTTAAAGTAACAGAATGCTTACCACTGCCAACATGAAAATCTGGTGTTTTGAAAGGGCAGCAATAGGTGCATCTTAAGCAAAAGTCTGCAAACCTGAGAATGATAGTGTAAGCTGCTTTTCTATGCTGTCCGGAAAATAAATACACTGTACTAACAGAAGTCTCTCCTGGTGTAGATAGTTCTTCCTTCTCTTCTGTTTCCTCCTGTGAAGGGTTGTACTTGCAGAACTACCTGGGAGAAAAAATACTTGAGTACACTCAAGGTATAACAATACCTCTTTTTTTTTTTAACTATTCTTTTTTAAGACTATGTTTGAAGATGTTAGTGGATTTGGAGCATGGCATAGGCGCTGGTGTGTGCTGTCTGGAAACTGTATATCTTACTGGACATACCCAGATGATGAAAAACGAAAGGTAATGCTGTTTTCTAAAGCTCAAGTCCCAAGTTCTGTAGTACCCTGCACAACTAGCTGGTCCTTTTTAATGGCAGTTTAGGCTTAAATAAGTACATTCAAAGCATGAGATTCAAGCTTATAACTTTTCCTTGGGGCATGGAGGGAACTTCATAAATCTGACCTCAATCAGGGCAGGCTTCGAAACTTACAGCTTTATTTAGGGAGAAAGGGGAAAAGTGAAGGAAGATCCATATTTAATTTCCTCTTAAGGCTTTCCATTGTGCTTGTTAAATGACTAATTGAAATTGATCGGACTTGTACAGCTTCATAAGCAGACTGTATCTAGTTGCCTTAAGTTTTAGACAAAATAATGACTCTAACACTTAATATGGTAAAGAGTGGGCAATCCTTCTGTATTGCAGGAGCATAGCTGTAATTATGGACTATCTTACTTACAGCCTTTTTTTTGCAGCTCCACATTATATATAGCTGAAAGTGGTGCTTTTTTAATGGTTCTCATGGAAACCTAAGTTATTGTCTGGTTAATGAGACAAATCGGAGGCTCATCTGTCATGAGGTGAACCTTGTCTCCTTAGCGTGTTCTTACAGTGTGTGCTGAAATATTTTGAGGTCCTTTTAAAAACTGATTTCAAGAGGGCTTTTCTGACTCACTTAAGTAATTTACCACTAAACACTTGCTTGTTTGTTGCCAGAACACTTTCTTTCCCAAACTTTGTGACAAACTCTGGTCCTTTTGGGTCTTTATGCCAATCCAGATGCCCGAGTTTAGTTTCTTCACTGCTGACAGAGGAAGACCATATGCTGATAGTGACATTGCCAAAATATATCAATGTACTTTATTTTCCTGCCAGGAGAGAGGGAAAAATCTTTGCCTACTGTAATAGAAGATAGGCAAACAAATTGAGTTCAGCAAGAAAAAGGTTCCCATTCTACGCTTGTCTGCAAGAAAGCAGCTTTGGTTTGTTTTCCAGTTCTGTTCTTGAAAGTCTTCTAAACTTGTCTCACTATCATTGTGAGAGTCAGCTATGTTCTATTGATATACTATCACCTACAGCAGTATTAAACTATCCTTATTAAATGCCTCCCTTACCCCTACTATATCTGTTGTAGCATGCAGAGATAGATGTACCTCAGAAATATCAGTATTGGGCAATGATTGCTTTAAATTGTGAAATGCTTTTGTTAATAGATTTCCCATGGCTGTGTATAGAGAGATATATATATCACCAACCTGTTTCTTAATGCTCCTTGAAATGGAGCTATCCTGTTTCCTGTAATTTAGGTATTCTACCTATCTATGCAATAATATAGGGAACATGCCAAATAAATAGCAAGCTTTTCTCCAAGCCAAGTGCAGCTTATGATGTTACCCTGATGTGAGGTCTTCTGTAGGAGTGAAGGATCAGAGCCAAGGTCTGTAACTAACTAGGCATACAGCTGAGCCTCTGTCTATAGTCAGCAGAAAGAGAGAACTACCTTGGAACTGGAAATCCTCTTTGGAGGGATCTAGGGAGCTAAACAGCCAGACTTGGCCCTTAAGGTACTTTCCTTATCGTCATTTGAAGATGAATCTGTGTGCTTATAGGCTTTGACAAGAATTATGCAAGCATCCCTAAAGTGCTTGTTTTCTGTAGGCTTTGATAAGGTTTATTCTATCATCAGTTTGGATTTTATTATGAAATTGTCTTGAATTTGAGAGTTAAAGCTTTTTAAAAGAGTAAAGAAAAGGGCACATGTATCTTTCTAGAGCCTTTGGTAAGGGATGGATTTGTTAGTTGCATGGTACGTGGCTGAGCAGGGCATGTTCCATTGTCTATTATCTTGCTTCTGCAATGGCTCTTAAGCACCAAAAAGGGAATTCCTCTTTTTGTATGGAGTAATTGATTTGGGGGGTGTCACTTAATATGGCAAAACTTGTTCAAAGCACATATTACTGAGAATTACTCTTGACTGCAGCATTCTTGACCAATGAACTTCACTTTCAGCATCCTTTGGGCCGGATAAACTTGGCCAACTGCACGAACCATCAGATTGAACCTGCCAACAGGGAGTTCTGTGCCCGTCCCAACACTTTTGAACTAATAACTGTCCGACCTCAGAGGGAAGATGACAGAGAGACTCTTGTCAGCCAATGCAGAGACACCCTCTGTGTTACAAAGTGAGTAGATAAAATGCTATTTAGTCTTCCGTGGATGATCGAATGACCTTTTTTTGGAAGAACTAAGTCGAGGCAGAGAAAGACATACCTAATCCTTTGGGTTCTTTGCCTTTTAGGAACTGGCTGTCTGCTGATACTAAAGAAGAGCGTAACCTTTGGATGCAAAAGCTCAACCAAGTCCTTGTTGACCTTCGCATGTGGCAGCCTGATGCCTGCTACAAACCTATTGGAAAGCTTTAAACTCAGGAAGGGAAATACAAAGAAAATATGTCTGTAAAACCCGCAGGAACTATACAAAAAAAGGAAAGAGGAACTTAAATGGCAATGTGGGAAGTCTTCTGGGTCACTTATGCTTTAAATTTGAGAGTATTTAACATTATACAGGAGTATATTATGCAGTATTTTTATTTCACTTCTAAGAATTTTAAAGCTTTTTTTACTTCCTAACTTTTGAGTATGATGGAAGCAATTAGCTGTTTTCTAAATGTGCTAAGTAACTCCTTTTTTGGAAGTCTGTTTTAGCCAAGTACATTCTTTTCTTTAAGCAACTAAATTATTGCAGGAACCCACACTTCAGGGCAGGAAGGGGGACAAGCTAGTGAAAAAACAAGCTTCCGAGATAACTCAGCTCCCTGAAAGAAACAATAGCTCAGAGTTTTCTAACAAGGATGGTGCTGAAGAACATTTAATACTGGAGGGCTTGTTGGGGTGTTTTTTGTGATGATCAGGCATAGAAGTTATAGTCTACAACGTGCATTAAAGGTATTTCTCGCTTGCACAGTGTCCTTGCAGCCAGAACAAAAGCACATGCACAATATATTCATACTTTTGCCATTTCCCCTACCAACTGGTATGGATAAGTGCATGGTATGTATGCTATGTGGTTTACAGGTGTGGAATTATGTTTGCAGTATATTGCACTTTGATAGAAATGAAAGGTCTTGATTATTTTTGTTAGGACTGCTATATTAAAAAAAGAGAGCAAAATAATGGTAGAGTTGTATATGTCTGTATTTCCTGGGACTCATGGTTTGTACAAGTTAGAATTCTCCATTTGAGAACCAGGAGTAGGTTGTAAAAGTGCTTTCTCTTAATATAAGACACTACAAAGCTGCTATGTACCAACTACTACTCTGCTGGCTGAAAGTATGGCTCTTTCCCCTCATAGAAATGTCCATAAACGCAGATAAAAGCAGTACTTCAGAGCCATCCATAAAATAACAAAACTTCTCAGTTAAAACTTACAGTTCTCACAGCTTTTCACTGGGCTTAGTGAAACACCAGCTCATTATTCACTACTGCAAATGCAGTCGTGGAATACTTACAATTGCTATTGCTGTCATGTATTCACACTTGAAACACTAAATTCTCTTAGCTTATACTGTTTTCATCCTGCCACTTCTGTTATGTCTTTTACATCTAGTTTTCTTTTTCTGATGCCTTTAAATATTCCCAACCTATGTATTGAGATTTATTTTATTCATTTAAAATAAAGAATAAAATACTTTCTCCCTTTTTCATCGTGTCATCTATGCATTGGAGGTACCAGGTTGTAGGCTGAAGCAGAAAAGCTGGGCTCCAAATAATGTTTAAGAAAGGATTCTTCATTCAGAATGCGAAATTCAAACTACTACTTGATTTGGGAAGGAAATGTGATGCCTTGTGAGTAGCAATACTACATAGATGGTGGATACAGGGTAGGCTGTCCACTTACTTAAACTTCCATGTGGAAGCTTCAAAGAGCCCAGACTGCATGAATACAAATAGCTTCAGGTAGCTATAGATGCTCAATACCTCAAATATTGTGTGTGATTTTAAACGAAGCTTTCACTTTGGGAAAAGAGTTTATAAGCAGAATAACATAGAAAGAACCCTTCCTGTTTGCAGTAGTGTGTTGGACCCAGCCAGTGGCATAATCCCTCACATATTCACTTGCTCTAACTGAAAGGGCCTTATAGACCATTCCTTTACACATCTGTACTGCTATAAAGTTTGAATTTCATGAAACATTGTTTAACTTCAACCAATCTAAGCACCGGGAGACATTTACAACTAATATCATAGATCAGGATTCATAGCTTGTTCCTGCTTTATAATAATAAGCTTTTTTGGAAGGATTTCTTTAAATATAGGACATGTATTTTTAGAGTGGTACTGGGAAGTGATTGATGGTTGGGGGTGCAGAAATTCAGCTGGTTTTTTGCATTCTTTGAAACAACCACACAACACACACATTTAAAAAGCAATTTCTAATTCTTTTTAAACTGGTTAGACTCCTGCCTGTCCTGTAGAATACCTAAACATTTTGTAATCCTGGATAGCAAGTCAAAGCTGGCTTAGGCATTTAAATGGTTTGGATTGGAAGGGATCTTAAAGCTCCTCCAGCTCCAAGCCCTGCCACGGGCAGGGACACCTTCCACTAGAGCAGGTTGCTCCAAGCCCCTGTGTCCAACCTGCCCTTGAACACTGCCAGGGATGGAGCAGCCACAGCTTCTCTGGGCACCCTGTGCCAGCGCCTCAGCACCCTCACAGGGAAGAGCTTCTGCCCAAGAGCTCATCTCAATCTCCCCTCTGGCAGGTTCAAGCCATTCCCCTTGTCCTGTCCCTACAGGCCCTTTTCCAAAGCCCCTCTCCAGGTTTCTTGTAGCCCTTTTAGGCACTAGAGAGATGCAGTGGTCATAAAAGCAAGCTGATGGCTTAATATGCCCCAAATTCATCTTTTTGTGCATAGTTACTGCATTAGTAAATCAAGCTCCTGCAGTGCTCTCCCCCAAGGTGTGAGGACATGCAGTGTTCAGTGTTCCTTTGCCCCGTGGCAAGCCTGTTGTTTCATGATGTCCCTAAGACACCCTTTGCTGAGCACAAAGCAACTACACTGGGCAGATCCAAGAGCTTTGCTTTGGCTTTCATGTCACCTTTGAGAAGATGCCATTCTAATTTTATAAGAAAGCTTTTTTTCTCCCATTGTTCACAAATTCAAGATGTTCACTAATAAGACAGTCTATAAATGGAAAATGCTTTGCTCTGGGCAATGAAGCTTATTTTAGCTGAGGAAATTTCAGTCTTACTAGCTTGTAAAACTCCTAATTGGTGTTATTAAATCCCAACCTCAAATGAAACACAATAATTTGCAATGAGATTGCTTGAAAATTGGGCTTCTAAACACATACTGTTCCCTTCCCCCTTTTAATTGCTACACTTCTGTATTTTGGCATAGAGGCAATTATCTGATATTCTCTAATTGCTGTCTGTGCTGTACTTGGTCTATAGTAAAACCATGTGGATGCACTTGTTCCTTCTATCTACCTGTTGTTTTTAATGGAAGACAGGAAGCCTGAAGAGGTAACGAAACATCCTTAGAGGTGTTTGACCTGGCCAGTGTGCTCTGAATGTTCTGCTGTCTGGTGGAGAGTCTTCGTATGGAAAGCAGGTAGGTTTCCTTTTCCTTCTAATGCTAACTAGCCTTCCTCAGGCATGCCTCTGTGGAGCTGGAACACTTTCTTGGGAGAGTGGGTATTTCAGTAACATTTAAACGCCTTGAATGAATTTGGGGCCTTATTAGTAAGTATTATTCAATTAAGGAATGTAATCCCTATTGGCTTCCTAAAGTAGGTGACATGAATATTTACTTAAATGTTAGCAGTTGTCCCAAAGGAATTTCTATCAATCATCTTCAAAGCTGTGGTGTTGCCTGTATTGCTGTTCTGTGTTGTCTGAGCCCTTCATCACCACTAAGGTTGGGAGCAGGGGAGAGCTGCCTCTAATTTTATTGTATTTATTTGTTTTGCTATTAGATAAGCTTGTGCAAAACCTACTAGTGGCTCCCAACTGTGTATGAAGCCAAGCAGGTAAGGGCTGTCCAGTGTCTTCAGTGATTCCCTGGGTCGTACTTGCAAAAGCTACAGGACTGGGTATGTCATACTTGATATAGGAAGAAAAAGAGCAAAGATTTACTAAAGGTTGAAAAGGCAACCTGTTTTAAATACACAAAGGGTTGTCAAGTTACTGTCTTGTTCATGATATGGGGGGGAAGAGAATTTGTGTTCAGCCTGCACTAATGCTGCCAGGCAAATCCAAATTCCAGCACCTTGCTATTCCTGGCACATTTTAATAAGCAAATAGCAGCTAAATAATGTATTGACACTCAGGGCAATTCCATACAATTTATAGCAACATAATGAGTTTGGGGTTTTCCTCCCCCCCCGCCCCTTCCTTTTGGGATCAGATTAACTGTTGAAACAGCACAAATGGAAAGCCCAGGGAAGAAAAACGTTCTGCAGGGAAGAAAAACGAGGTAGGGTTAGAAGTTTGCTATGTATGGAATTCAAATCCCATGTGGATTTGCAAACCAGTACAACAAACAGTCTAGCTGGCAGGTATCCTTTGACTTTTATTTTTGCACAGCATAGCCTACTTGTGCAGGTGAGATAGATACAGACTGAAAAGGACGCTGTTGTGTTATGTTCACTGCTACTGGCTCTGACAGCTTGTCCTCCCCCTTTCTGTGTGTGTGTCTTTAACCATCTGGTTTCGTGGCGTGCTCTGGGAAAGCATCACCATAAACCGCGCCAGAGCTCCGGCCCTTTGGAAGTCAGTGTCCACCTTGGTCTTTGAATATAGCTTCGATCTGGTCGTTGAATGGATTCTCCTTTCCAAGCACCTGAGGCCATTCCTGCAGCGCCTTCTGCCAGGTGATGCTTGTGCCGAGGGCTGCAGCAATCTGCAAACAGCACACACACTGTCAACTTCTTGTGCCTCTACAATGCAGTTCTCTCCTGGCAGCATTTAGGAGACTCCACCATAAGGAAGACTCCCATGTACAGCAGTGTGATGGACCATAACCTCTAATCAAAGAAGACACCCCATTCCAGCTGCTTGAGCAGGGGAAACCCTTCTGAACAGTCGAAATAAGGTGAGGACTAAATATCTGCGCCTCCCTGACCAGTCATTAGGTTGATAGTCTCCAACTGCTTCCTGATGCCTATGATGCCTGCTCCATAAACATATATCCAAAAGACCTAGAGTTTGATTTTATTGTTTTTTCTACTCCCAAGCATTTTGAAAGAATTTAAAAGCATCACTAGAATATAAGGTGTAAAACTCTTGCAAGCCCAAAGGAATTCGTGCTTCTAAATGCCTCTGATACTTCTAGCAAATATTCTCCCTGTTACCCTGCAACGAAACCACAGGCACTGAGGAGAAAGAAAGAGGCCCAACTATATCTAGGTTCAAAACTACCCAGCTCTGATGCTCTAAGCTTGTGCCTGCTGCTGATTGTCTTTAGAGCTTTGTTTTGCCCTAGAAGTTATGCACCAAAGAGAAAGTGTATGTATGTGCTGTACTGCCAGGGTGAGAAACATCAGGGCATGTAGCAGAAAGGGGAAGAGACAACAGCCTGATTCTCCTTGAACCAAGTTTTCACACCCTGCTCATGCATTTTGGTTTAGCTTCTGAC